ACTCGCTTGAGCCCAGGAGTTGGAGGTTGCTATGAGCTGTGATGCCATGGCACTCTGCCCAGGGGGATAGCTTGAGGCTCTGTCTAAAAAAAATAAAATAAAATAAAAATAAAAAAATGTAAAATAGTACTAATCTGCAATTGTAACAAACTTAAAAGTTGTAGGACTGAAAGATGGCATACACAAATGGAAATGGCATACCAACGGGCCCCTTGATGATGGAAGCTAAAAGACAGAGCTAAATTTATTTTTGGAAAGTTCAAACTGCATCTAAAGAAAATACCTTTCTAATATTCAGAGAACATTTAAACATAAAAATCTTTCAATTTGTTTAGAAAACAGAGACTCTCCGTTTGCAGTATCGATACCTAGACTTACGTAGTTTCCAAATGCAATATAACCTGCGGCTGAGGTCTCAGATGGTCATGAAAATGCGGGAATATCTCTGTAATCTGCATGGTAAGGGAAATGATGCCTGCGGGTTCTGTGGGACTTGTTAGCATCTCTTCTGTTTTATTGTATCCTCCCCTTAGGGAAGTCATTGTGTAGTTTTTGCCCTATGGCATAACTTGGTAACTATTAATAGTTTCCTCTGATATCACAACTGCATTCTTTTAAAGATGATAGTGGCAATAGCATTGGTTAATATAGTATTTCCCATCATTATTGAAGGCAGGACAGTCCTTTGGTTGTTTCTGTAAGTTTTCTCAATTCTTTATCATGCTTATACATCACTAGTTCAGAGCTCTAAAATGTCATGTGAATTAAACTAAACAGACATATCAATCAGTCCTGGGGTTTTCCTGCGTTATTTGTGTTATTTTTGCTGCACTAGCAGAACATTTAAAAAATCAGAACAGTTCACTGGATAAGAATTCATCAAATATCTAGAATTATTTCATGTCAAAGGTATCAACTTGCTGAACAGAGTAAGATTTTTATGAAAACCTTCGGCTTCCTTCTTGGATACATATGCAGTCAATATGTATAGGCTTAGTAGCTAATTTCTGCCCAAATTTCTAATTAAAGGGGAGCCTCAGATTTGTTGTGCTATATTATAGACATCATATTTGACAAATTCCACATTCCCGTCTACTAAATTATAATGTATCTCTCCTTTTAGGGTTTGTGGATATAGAAACCCCAACCCTGTTTAAGAAGACCCCAGGGGTATGTACATTCCTTCAGTCAGCCTACTAATAACGTCCTATTGTTATAGAACTAGACCACTTTGCTTGTATGTTTACTTGGTCCACTTTTGTTTTTATTCTGTTTTATTTACTGCCTCACAATGGTCACATTAACTAGGTTTTTTAAAGAATTGAGAGAACTGGCTC